TCTAGTCTATAATAATAAAAGCATAATATGCTAATTAGACCAGAGGACCTTCCAGATGACCTTCTGGATGAAGCCATGGCTTTGAGGGCTGAAGCAGAGGCAGCTGCCGTGGCTATGGAGACTGAGCCCCTTGCAAAAATTTTGTGCATCAGGCCTCTAGTCCTTAAATAAAATGGTGAGAGTGAGCACGTCGCTATGGAGACTGAGCCCCTTGCACAAATTTTGTGCATCGGGCCTCTAGTCCTTAAATAAAATGGTGAGAGTGAGCACGTTTTTCTTTAGGACTCTGGCTTCTGTTTATCTTCAGGACTCCTGGTTTCCCTTTGCTTTCCTCTGAACTGGAGAATAACTCTCCTCTCATCCTTCATCTCACAATTCCCTACGCAGAAGAAATGAGGGCACGTGGCTAAGAATTTAATGAAATCCTGGTGGGAAGTCCTTTCAAGAAGCTTCTTTAGTGAGTAAGCAAGTGGCCATCAAAAGTTTGAAATGGAAAAGATGAACACATTTCTTACCCAGGAAGCCTAAAGAAACACAGTTTAAAGGGAGAGGAAAAGATCAAGAAAGAAAATGAACAATTCAACTCTACTCGATAAAGGAGACTTGCAAATTATGAAACAAATAGACAAGTATTAATCCTTTCTGTATGAATCTTGAGTTGTTTAAACTTTAGAGGATACAATTTCTGAGAATTAATATTTGTACTATAGATGTGTGTGTGTGTGTGTGTGTGTGTGTGTGTGTGTATGTGTGTGTGTGTTGTGTGTGTGCAAATGTCTGTAAGAGTCCTCAATTAACTCACATGGATGGGGACCTGGAGGGAAAGAGGCTTGGACACCCATGGTCATTAGGAAGTGTGCACCAGGAGGGGACTCCTCACCCCCTTTATAATTATATTGCTTGGAGAGATAATTATGCTGAACTTGTTCTCACAACAGCCTTTCCCTTTGTTATCTCTAATTTAATAACTAGGATTTTGAGAAATAAACTGCCAAGGAGAGAGATGGATCCTACAGTGAGAATAACCCTTGTAGGCATGGAGCAAGATTTCTAGGGTGGAGATTGAAGAGTCACATGGTCGAGGATGAATTTATAAACAGCTGTGGACCCGAGGTCTGGAGAGCATCATCAGTAGACTTCAGATGAAGTATTTAACTGCTTGGTGATTTTTCCATGCAGCACACTGTGAAGGAAGCTTTAGGACAGTGATGGCGAACCTATGACACGCGTGTCAGAGGTGGCACGTGAACTCATTTTTTTGGTTGATTTTTCTTTGTTAAATGGCATTTAAATATATAAAATAAATATCAAAAATATAAGTCTTTGTCTTACTATGGTTGCAAATATCAAAAAAATTCTATATGTGACACGGCACCAGAGTTAAGTTAGGGTTTTTCAAAATGCTGACATGCCGAGCTCAAAAGGTTCGCCATCACTGCTTTAGGATATACAGCATACAGTTGAATAATTTCCCCCTTCATGCATTATAATTTATCATGATTACCTCAACCCTTCAGGAAAGTCTGAAAACAGCCTATATGATGGTGGTACAGATAAGTAGAGGATAGAGTATTAAGCATTAAGAAGAAATGTGGCCTGCCTTGCATTTACCTCTTAATTGGGTCCTTCTTACGAAGATAGCAGTACATCAGGGGAACTGGGTTAGGAGTTTCAGGTATCACTGGCAGAGCACGGGGGGGGGGGGGGGACAATAGGATATTGAGGTTCAGCAACTGGGAGGAAAACCAAAAGAGTCCCTCCACTTTCTAAATAAATCCTGAAGGAATGTGACCCTTGATGCCTGTGTGTAGGGTGGAATGTGGGGGATAATGGTTCAAGAGGAGGCAGATGTTACACATCCTTTCCTCTCTTCCCAACTTCTCTTATTATATGTCACCTCGTGTCTTCCCTAACATCCAATACTGTACTCAGGAAAGAATCAGGAAAGAATTTGCTCTCAATTATTTATAGCCCAGTGAGAATAAATGTAAGATAGTAGTCTTCTTTCTCCTAAAGGCTTTTATAGAAATAGGTTTAGCCTTGTGCCTGGATTCGAGTTGGAAATTAAAAATGCAATTTGAAGTAAATTACCTCTCCCAGGAGATATGAGCATCTTATCCCAATCTCTAATTTCGTAATTCAAAATGTAAAACTCATTGAAAGATACTTAACCCTAATTAAATGGAGAAAATAATACCTGAAGTGCTTGGCTTCTAAATTCAAACCAGGCTGATAGCCTCCTGTTCCACAGCTGGACATGGTTAGCCCTCAAAATAGGTAAGCACCCTAACACCACAGCCTTCCCTTGGGTGTATTGCACATTTGCAAAAGTTTTATTTTTATTTGAGTTGATCTCGGTCTTAAGGTGGAATCTGGGGATATGAATGATCCTATATAATAAATAGGGATTATGCTAATTTGTCCATTACAGTGTCTGAGTCACAACCAGTCAACTGGTTGCGCATGCACAGGAGCTGGGTGGTGGGATCAGGGGCAGGGACTTCTGCCCCCAGCAGAGGCACACCCAGGCCTGCCCAGTGCTAACATCCTACCCAGCACTGAGGTGAAGCTGCCTGGCTGCATCCCTGACCAGGGACATGACACTGTCTGCCTGTGTCCCTGACCTGGGACGTGGCACTGCCTGCCTGTGTGCCTGACCTGGGACGTGGCACTGCCTGCCTGTGTGCCTGACCTGGGACATGACACTGTCTGCCTGTGTGCCTGACCTGGGACGTGGCGCTGTCTGCCTGTGTCCCTGACCTGGGACGTGGCGCTGTCTGCCTGTGTCCCTGACCAGGGACATGGCGCTATGTGTGTCAGCCTGGGACGTGAAGTTGCCTACATGCAACCCAGCCTGGGATGTGGCACTGTCTGCGTGTGTCCCCGGCAGGGTACATGATGCTGCCTACGTGCATCCCTGGCCTGGGACATGATGCTGTCTGTGTGCGTCCCCACCCAGTGCTGATGAGACGCTGCGGGGGGGGCCAGGCTTGATGGGTGTGCGGCCGACCAGGTATGGGTCTTGCCCAGTGGGGGTGGGGTAAGCTGGGTTGGGGTCTCAAGAGATTTTGAGGCCTGCACAGGTGTGTGAGGACTTGACTCTCTAATTAATTCCCTTTTAATGTGTATAAAATTCATGCACCAGGCCACTAGTTGGATTATAAGATGAG